TGAATATGACCACTGGACTAGAGCTGTTATCAACTGGATTCCACGGGATGTCAAAGGATCACGTTGCCGCTCACCTACAAGATGGTCAGACTTCTTCATCAGTGCCCTGAAGGATTGGTTTGAGACTCTTCGTGTTCCTAGAATGAGCAGACACCATTGGATTACACTAGCATGCAGCAGGGATGAATGGAGATGTTACTAGCACCCACTCGAGCAAATCAATGAGTAACAGGATGTCAAGTGATCAAGTGATCAAGTGATTTAGATAGGTTGCCTTTTACTTTACACCCCATCAATTATGGTGAACTACTCTTGGTATATCAGGGGCTTAGAGTATGAAATGTCACTGCAGGAATTCTAACATTTTAAATAGGGTGATACAGCTGGAGTTAAAGTCTTTACTGCATGTTGACTTTTGCATCTGGAGATGTCTCTGCACCTTCCTACTCTCTTTCGAGATTTATTTGTGAGTTTCTGGATCTTGGCCTTTCATGATTTTATATGCCTCCAGAGGCAGTTCATGGGTGTGACTTCTTGGCTCCAGGATGAACCGGGAGATGGGGGGAGGTCGCCCATTCCTGACTGTATGGGAACCTGGAGATTTTGGTCATTAAGTCCTCATACTGAGTATTTCAGCAGATTCATTTTCATGTGTGGAGGGTTTATCCTAAACCTGTGGATATTGGCTGTAAGCATGGCAGCAATCACGTTCTGGTTATTTCTAGCTGCTGGGGCTCTGTTGGGACGAGTAGTAAGTTCATCCACCCACCTCTGGGATGTCCCAGGTGGATTAAGCCTAGTGTAAAGTGTAAAGATATCTGTAGAGATATCTCAAAAGCATGTTGCTCTCTTCCAAGATTTTTTTGTTAGTCTGAGTGATGGTTTTTCTGAAAAGGGGACAACCAGCCAACTAAGTTTGAGAGATTTTGAAAGCAATTTAATATTTATTTAGTATATATTTGGTTATTGTTTGTTTTTTTGTTGTTGTTTTTTGCTTTTTGGGTCACACTTGGTGATGCACAGGGGTTATTCCTGGCTTTGCACTCAGGAATCACTCCTGATGGTGTTCAGGGGACCATATGGGATGCTGGGGATCAAACCCGGGTTGGCTGCGTGCAAGGCAAACACCCTCCCTGTTGTGCTACAGCTCCGGATACCACAGTGTGTAGGGATTTTGCCTTGTATGTGGCCAACCCCGCTGACCTGAATTTGATTCCTCGGCCCCTCTGTGAGAGCCCAGCAAGCTACCTAGAGTATTTCGCCCGCACGGCAAAGCCTGGCAAGCTACCCATGATGTATTCAATATGCCAAACATAGTAACAACAAGTCTCACAATGGAGATGTTACTGGGCCTGCTCGAGCAAATGGGTGAACAATGGGAGGACAGTGCTACAGTGCTATATTTGGTTATTATTTCTTGCCTCAGTTATGAGTTTATATTTATTACATTTAGTAAAATCAAATATTGTTTTATATTGGTTTCTTACAAAGAGCTGAAAAGTCTCACACAAATTTCATTTAGCTAATTGTCATATTCACAAGACATTGTTTCACATATAGAAAGTATGTGAATGTGGAATTCATATTTATTATGGAATAATCTAGAAACAGATCATTGGTCCAACTGTATAAATTGATAATGTCAGGCATTTTAAGCTATAAAATACAAATTCAACATTTAACTAGATTTGAATTTTTCAACTGTGCAGAGGGTGATGATATTTATTTTCAATGACATATTTTTATATTAGTAATGAATTGAACATTTAAGAATAAAAACTTCCCCTTTCATAATACTTGATAAAGATTTTATTTAAATCTGTAATGGCTTAGAATTTCTGTTTAGTACAATAGTCCCTTTAAAGGCCAGACTGCTAGACTCCTTCCTGAAAAGGTTTAATGTCCATAATATAATAAAAATGTTTATAAATATCCTGATATTATCTAAATATGTTTTACATAAATGGCAAGAATTAATTTTAGGAGCCCTAAATTATTTCTAATTTAATAGAAAATTATATTAAATGCATTTTATGTTTTGGTTTGTAATAGGAAAGATGCAGGTTGCTGTACATCACAAAGTCAAAAAAATCAATATAAATTAAGTTGGAGCTTGAGAGTTTAAGTCTGTTCAAAATCAGCGTTGATTTAAAAATCAATGCATGTTTAAACAAACATGCTATGTTTCATCAATACAGCATGCATAGTAGAAAGACAGAGTGAAGGATGCAAAAAAATAAATAAACCTCAAATAGAAAAGCTGACTCCATGTTTGCTACTACTCAATCTGTGTACAAATAAATGAAGTATCCCATAAGCTGAATCAGCCTAATAACCAAGAAGGTGCTTTAAATGTGTTTACAAATACCCCTTTCAAAAGTATGTTTATCCTTGGAAATTAATCTGAAAAGTTCCGAATTCTACAAATGTAATACAGCTGAAGTGAAAGCATAGAGAGTAGGGCATTTGCCTTACACTCGGCCAACCTGGGTTCTATTCCTCCACCCCTCTCGGAGAGGCCGGCAGTCTATGTATCTCACCGGCACAGCAAAGCCTGGCAAGCTCCCCATGACGTATTCGATATGCCAAACACAGTAACAACAAGTCTCACAATGGGGATGTTACTGGTGGCTGCTCGAGCTAATTGATGAATAATGGAAGGACAGTGTTAGAGTGCTACAGATGTAATATAACTGGCCGTTCTTTGTGCAGAATTGTTTTTTTATTATTGTTATAGTAAGCATCATTAAATGAGCAGTTTTAAGTTTGAAAATAAGAAGATATTTTCTGATTATATAGGAAGATGTACATTTTGAAAGTAACATTACTTTTGCTTTTAACTAATTTCAGTTTTCACTTCCTTAAAACATATAAAGGTAAAGGTAAAGGCCCTCCCGTTGATCGTCGATTTGCTCGAGCGGGCCCAGTAACGTCTCCATTGGAGACTTCGTTGTTACTGTGTTTGGCATATCAAATACTCTCGGTAGCTTGCCGGGCTCTCCGAGAGGGGCGGAGGAATCGAACTCAGGTCGGCCATGTTGGCCGCTTGTAAGGCGAATGCCCTACCGTTGTGCTATCGCTCCAGCCCTTAAAACATATGTACGTTGTAAATTAAAAATGTGTAATAGAAACTTAAAATTAGTTTCAATTTGTTATTACACTGCCAAATGTCAAAATGATATTTATAATGAAATTAGAAACATGTTTCTTACTATAATTACTTCTATGTTTAAAATTAAGTAATACTTTGCTATCCTAATGAAAGTCTGTATATATCTATTTGTATTTATATACACATATATATGTGAATGTAATTCTATAGCATGTGTTTGCTCCAGATCATTGTAAAACATTATTCTGATTCCTTTAATTAAACTAAATTTGACATACCTATAAAAATACTTCCAAAATAATAAGAGCTTATTGATGTATTTTTGACTTACGGGGGAAAAAAACAAACGAAATCACCTCATATTATCCTGATTCCCTCCTCTGGATAAGGTGATTGGCTAAACTAGCTCACAGAATTCATAAAAGAATCCATCCTCAGAAGATTCCTAGTTTTACAGTTTTAGAATGGTTGTAGAACTATACAGTACTAGGATACACCGTTCAGAACAGCAATATGGAAGAGTTGCATAGGGCCAGGGTGTGTGAGGAGACTGTAATTCCCTATCTCCCCACTACTCTCCCGCATCTGTGCCTGTTATCAAGTCAGGCTGGATAGTTCTCACAGCCATCCTTTTAGGCTTCACTGAAGTGATGTTAAATAGACATGAGATGATAAAGCTTTTCCTAGGGCTGCTTGGCTAACACTTCAACTTCAATTTTGTTCTCCTACCTACCCAGAGTCAAAGGTTGGAGTAGAAATAGCTAAGCCACCAATTAAATAGTTGGTGCCCCCCAACATCCTTTAGGAAATGTTAAATTGTCATCTCATAAGTATTACTTGTACTTGGAGGTTACTTTCATAAATAAAAATGAACTACTTTATTGCTTGTATTTATTAGAAAATTTTAAGGATTTTAGGAAATTGTACAAAAATGAGGATATATATGTATTTCCTTTTTGTAAAGATCTTATTTTACTATACATAATATCTGCTTATTATAAGACACATTATCAAAGATTGCCAACATTTCAGAGATACTGGCAGAGGACTGCACATTGCTTTTTAGAGTGACTGAAATAGCATCTTACATGCCAGAATGAGTTTCCTGTTTACAACATTTCTCCTTTTCCTGTAAATTCCATGGGGGTAATGTGCATTAAGTAAGGTTAATATTTTCTAATAAAATGCCTAACAATACCGTTTAGTTTGGTCAATGAGAAACTTCAATGTTTAAGTCCCAAGAAAGGGACTTAAGCAATCACTGGCTAGAAGATTACAAGCTTGTTTTTTTTTGTTTGTTTTTATTTTTTTGCTTTTTGGGTCACACCTGGCCATGCACAGGGGTTACTCCTGGTGGTGCTCAGGGAACCATATGGGATGCTGGGATCGAACCCGGGTAGGCCGCGTGCAAGGCAAAAGCCTATTCCTGCTGTGCTATCTCTCTAGCCCCGAAGATTACAAGCTTTAAAGTGTGTTCTGTTATCAAAATTAATGAAGATGTTTCAGTATAATTTATCTTAAGATGTTTATCAAACAGAGAATGAAAAAATATGCTGCTTTTTTTGTAAATTAGCATTTTCTTTCTTTTTTTTTTTCTTTTTTGGGTCATACCTGACAATTCACAGGGGTTACTCCTGGCTCTTCACTGAGAAATTACTCCTGGCTGTGCTCAGAGGACCATATGGGATGCTGGGAGTCGAACCTGGGTTGGCTGTGTGCAAGGCAAATGCCCTATCTGCTGTGCTATTGCTCCAGCCTCAGCATTTTATTTCTTGAAGTTTTAAACTTCCACTGAATTTCTCCACTTAGAAGTCACCCATTTAGACTATCTAGGAAAGTTGCTTGACTCATCCATAGCCATTTCCCTAAAGGCTATACATTTTATTAAAGAGTATTAAACCCTCGACAGTCCTATTAGTCAGGAATGAACACATGATTGTATGTCATCTCAGTTAGAGAATAGAATGAACATGCATGTATGTTAATCTCACATAGCAATGACTCAAGCAACTTTTACTGTACAAGCAAGAGATTTGTTGGATGTTTCTATTACTAAAACTACAAGAAAGAAAAGTTTATGAGTAGAATTTAGTTGAAGATTGCAAACACAAATTAGGATCTAAGGAAGCACTTAGTGATTTTTTTTAATGAAATAATGGGAATACAACCTTATTAGATCATACAGGCATATGAAAAAATAGTTAACAGTGTATGAAGATTTTGGAAAATGTAGAGAGGATATTGTTTTGAGAATGTTACAAATGATAGTTTATAGAGTAGAGAGAAATAAACTATCAAATATCCTAAGTAACTGTAACACAAAATCACTGAAGTTAGATATGAAATGAAAGAATTGTCAAAAATAGGATTTTTCATATAAGCAGCATGTGAGAAATTATAATCTTAGAACAAATATTGTTAGTAATAAGGCTCAATAAATCATGAAAATGGGTGCTTATGTAAGTGGAAGAACAATTTATTAGAGATGAGAACTCAAACTTTAGAGTGTGAAAACTGAGTGGATCTGTACCTTCATATTAAGATTAATCAGAATTATGATAGACTGTTAACTAAGTGTCAAATTAGCTAAGAAATGAGCTGGAGAAATTGCATTTAGCTAGATGAAGGAGGTGAGATGAAAATGAAAAAGCAGTGTAACAGTCAAATAAGAATTTGAAGGTAAATCTGTTTTAAGGAATTCTGATTATATGCATTTTTAAAAAAATTATTAGTGAAACACCATGAGGTACAGTTGTAGACTTACAAATTTTTGTGCTTGGGTTTCAATTATACAATGATCGAGTACCCATCTCTCCACCAGTGCCCATTTTCCACCACCACGTATCCCAGTATCCTTCCCCCCACTCCCATCACACCCTGCCTCTGTGACAGGGCATTCCCTTTTGTTCTCTCTCTCCTTTTTGGGTACTGTGGTTTGCAAAAGAGGTATTGAGTGGCAATCATGTTCCGTCTATAGTCTACTTTCAGCATGCATTTCCCATCATGGGGGAATCCTCCCAATACCTTTATTTGGTGCTCCCTTCTCTATCTGAGCTGCCATTTCCCCTAGTATGTGCAGGTGGCCTCCAAGCCATGGAGTGAACCTCCTGGTACTTATCTCGGCTATTCTTGGGTATTAGTCTCCTCTTTTGTTACTTTATGTTCCCCAGATGAATGCAATATTTTTATGTCTGTACCTCTCTTTCTGACTCTTTTCACTTAGCATGATACTTTCCATGTAGTACCACTTGTATGTAAATTTTATGACTTCATCTTTTCTAACAGGAACATAGTACTCCATTGTGTAGATGTACCGAAGTTTCTTTAACCAGTCATCTGTTCTCGGGCACTCAGGTTTTTTCCAGATTCTGGCTATTATAAAGAGTGCTGCAATGAACAAACAAGTGCAGATGTCACTTCGACTATACTTTTTTGCCTCTCTGGAATATATTCCCAGAAGTGGTATTGCTGGGTCAAATGGTAGCTCAATTTCTAATTTTTGGAGAATCATCCATACTGTTTTCCAAAAGGGCTGAACCAGCTGACATTCCCACCAGCAGTGAAGGAGGGTTCCTTTTTCACCACATCCGTGGCAACACTGATTGCTTTTATTCTTTTGGATGTGGGCCAATCTCTGTGATGTAAGATGATATCTCATGGCCGTTTTTATATGCATCTCCCTGATTATTAATTACGTAGAGCATTTTCTCATGTGCCTTTTTGCCATTCGGATTTCTTCTTTGAGAAAGTTTTAACAACTTCCTAAGTTTGCAATATAAGCATTGCTCATTGAGGAAGTTTCTCATAACATTAAATTTACTTAAAACTGTGAAAGTTTTGACTTCTAATCCCTAATGTGTCAAATAGTAGTATGATGTAGCTTGAGTCAGTTTAATGTATCAATCTTTAAAATTGACCATGTTAATCTAACCATTTACTATAGAACACGAAGTCATGATTATTCCATTTACAGAAGAAAAGGGAAGACAAAAAAAAACTAACTCAAGTTCATATACACAGTAATTCTCAGTGGAGTGTTTGCTTTTAATTATTCTTCCCTTACGTTGTCTTCCAAAACCCCTACAAATCCTCTTTCAGTTTTGTCAGTTACTCTCTCTCTCTGTTTCTCTCTCTCCCTCTTTTCTCTATCTTCCTAGAATGTCCTTCATCAATCCTGAAATTTCCTGGATGATCCTTCAGAGTCTGTGCTTGGTGAAGCGAATAACCCCCTTTCTTTCAGCTGGGCCTACTCTTGTATAGTAAGATACAGAACACTCAGAGATACCAGCTGAAGGTATTTCTGTAGCTTTTCTCTGTAACCAAAATGGAATTAAACAGTTATTTTATTCCACCTTATTTGGCTCCTCATATCTGCACACTTTTTATAGAAAAATGCCAGAACAAAGGCACCTGGTAACAAGATGACCTAACTCATTAAAGCTCTGGGGTCAGCAGTTACTGGCATAGCTAACACCTCTCGTTACATCATTTCAACATGGTTAAACTGGTAAAGATATTTCTTTGTTACATAGAGATAATGTTATAAGCATTGCAATTTTAGAGAAAATTGTAACATTTATTTTTTGGGTCCCATTTTTTCTTCTCATATAATTTACTGCTAATTCCAAACACTTAGTCCTTCCTTCCTTCCTTCCTTCCTTCCTTCCTTCCTTCCTTCCTTCCTTCCTTCCTTCCTTCCTTCCTCCCTTTCTCCCTCCCTCCCTCCCTCCTTCCTTCTTTCCTTCCTTTCATCCTTCCATCCTTCCCTCCATCTGTCCTTCCCTCCCTCCTTCCTTCCATCCTTCCCTCCCTCTCTTCCTCCTTCCCTCTTTCTTTCCCTCCTCCCTCCCTCCCTTTCTCCCTCCCTCCCCCTGTCCTTCCCTCCTTTTCTCCTTTTCTCCTTCACTCCTTCCTTCCCTCCATTCTTTCTTCCCTCCCTTCCTCCCTTCCTCCCTTCCTTCCTTCCTTCCTTCCTTCCTTCCTTCCTTCCTTCCTTCCTTCCTTCCTTCCTTCCTTCCCTTCCTCCATATTTTGGATGACAAAAATGGATACTCTAATATCACCAAAATCTTTTGTTTAATATATTGATGTAATATACTCTTTTGTCATTGCTTTTTTTAATTGGATGTTACTTTTCCCTTACCGGTGACCCTCAAAAAGAACAACATAGACTGCGTTGCCTAATTATGTTTCAATAACATATTCTGATTTGAGAAGGGTTGAAAGTTGTGATGTATTCACTGCACTCATGGCTTACTTCTGACTCTGTGCTCAGGGATCATTTATGCTCACGCTTGATGGATGATATAGGGTACTAGGGCCAAATTGGGGTCTGCCATGTTCAAGGCAAGCACCTTAACCATGTACTATATCTCAGATCTCCAGTGGTTTTCTTATTTCTTTTTTTCCTTTAACTTCATTTCAAGACAGTATCACCTTATACTTTTACTCTATCTGTGGCACTTCATCTTTCTGTCTCTTTTCTGCCCACCTCCAATTCCCCACTCCACTCTGTTTTTGTTTAATTTCTAAATTTTCAGATCTTTCAGTTTCTTTCTGTTTCTGTCTCTGCCTCTGCATCTCCTTCTCTCCCTCCCTCTCTTCCTCTTCCTCCTCTATCTCTCTTTCTCTATCTCTCTCTCACTCTTACTTACACAGAAACAGACACACACAGATGCACAACACTCCAGGAGCAGTTGGTTGACCTTTGTGGTAGGTTACCCCCTTAAAGTTCTTATCTTGTTTGGTAGACGGTTTCCTTTTCTCCAGCCAAGTTTCTATATCAGAATCATCAATTTAGTTTCAGAATCCATGCCAAAAAATTCTATTTTAATTCTTCTCACATGTTCCTTTCTTGTAACTCATTCAATGATATAAAAATTAAATTGTAATAATCGCCAATCATTTTTCTCGGCTTCCACTCGAACACTCTGCATAACACCAGAAGTCATGACTTGGAACGTATGAGAAGGGAATATTTAGATTTTTGCAATTTCATAAAAAATATGCTCCACAATTGATATTTTCCCATCATATGACACATTTTCATTTATGTTGAGAAAACTGCCATGGCACTATTTTACTAAAGCTGAATGTCAAAATCTGCCAATATAATTAGAATAAATGTAGAAAATAAAGGGTAAATTTGTTAAAATATTAAAGAATTTAATGGCTTTAAATAGTTTTCACTATTTAAACATCTTGAAATAGTTTATAGTTGTGATTACATATGAATAATAAACATAATAATAAATGCAGACAACAATAATATGAGCGCAACTACTTCTATCTTCTTTGTCAGAGAGTTTCAGAATTGCACCTCTGCATTCAGACTATTGAACAATACATGCCTATTTCAGAAAAATATAGAAGCAACTCAGATGCCAAAACATGAGACATGAGAAAAGCCTCAATTGCTATAAGTTAGATCAGTTTGTTTACGGATGTTAAGCTATTTCTGTATTTATTTTCCACGTGAAAATGAGTTTTCAAGAGGCAGTGCATATCAAAATATTTACTAGATGCTGAGAATGATTTTCTTCTAGTATCACTAAGCAAGTGTCTAAAATATATATTTTCTTCTTTTTTTTTTAAATCATTCTTAATGAGTTTTTGCTTTATTTGTTAAGAGCTTCTTATCCAACACATTGGAGAGATGTGCTCTGTCATTGGGCTATATTCTAGGCCTCCAAAAAGTTTCCCACTACTTTTATTAGATAACCTTATTCCAACCACCTGACTGAACAACTTAAAGAAAACTAGATGTAGTACAGGGGTTATGGCATTTTATCTTATACATGGATTACTTGGATTTGATCTGCAACAACATATGGTCCCCTATGGACCTCCTAGAATGACTCCTGAGTTCATAACCAGGAGTAAATCCTGAGTATCACTTGGCGTATCCCTAAATCAAACAAATAGAGAAGAAACAAATAGAAAATTGATTGCTTCATAACTTTAAAGGTCGGAAATAAAGAAAGATACAAACAAGAATTGATGTAGTAATTCAGTAAAACCACCAATTTCCATAAGGCAGGAACCAGATGCCCATTGCATATTTAATAAATATAAGGATTTACATAGATGTTGGTAAAAGATTCACTGTGTACAGAGTGCTTTTGTCCCCTAAAG